AGTTCTGGGCATGTGTTGGTCACACAGCCCTGCGCAGACCAATTCTGGTCTGCGTAGCCTGGGGCTGAGTTCTGGGCCCCGGGCTAGTCTCTTATACACATCTAGATGTGTATAAGAGACAGGCCCTGCGCAGACCAATTCTGGTCTGCGTAGCCTGGGGCTGAGTTCTGGGCCCCGGGCTACTTCTGAACGGGGTTACTACAGAAGAAGAAGATGTACACCAGCAAGACCAATGACAAATCCCCCCTCTCACTCCACCTTCCCCCTCCTCCTTGACTTCGCCGATCTTATTCTTCTTTCCGAATAATAATAATAACAATAACAATGAGTGGATGAACCAGAATCAATATCCGAAGTTCCTTCTTACTACTAGCACAACAATAGGTCCACCATATCCATGGCTTCCCCCTTCTTCCTCCTCTCACATGCCAAGGCTATGGAGGACTACTAAGGGCTCTGCCCTTTTGTGCAAAGGACAACACAAAGCAGCTATGTCACTCATCAGGCTGCCATGCCTGACTCTGCCTCGAGCTCCCTTGGTGCGACACCACCCGAACTGGGGCCTTCCAGATGCAGCGCCTATCAAGGTGATGAAGATGGTGTCCACCATAGCCAGGTAGGTGCCTCGCCACTCTCCTCCTTCGCCCCCTTCTTCCTCCTCCTCAAGTTGGGCTGCTCGCCATAGCCAGGCTCAGCACCCAGCTGCTCTCCTTCCTCCAGGCAGCGCTCCAAGTCTACCGCTTGGCTCCAGCAGTATGTCTCCAATCCTTGCACACCGCAAATGAGGAGGAGCTACTTGCTCCTCCCGAAGATATAGTGGCCTACTTGCCTCTTGGGCAGTGACTTCCTAGGCCGCGCGGCCTCCCAGCAACCGGTACCTCCTCCCTTTCGGAGGGAAACATCATTGCAGGCCCTGATATCTTCCGTACAGGCCCTAGATGCTACCTGGACTGGTACCGGCCTACCTCTAGCCTACCACAACTGGGCCTCTAAAAATGCCAACTTTTTGTCTTCTTCTGCTCGGCCTTGAGTACCCGACACTTCAACAACTACTTGAGCGGTACCAGCCTACCTGCTACTTGAGTGTTTTTCCCGCTCCTCTAAGTGTCGCGGGCCTACCCCGGCTACTTGAATGTTTTTCCTGCTGCAACCCTCGAAGTCACGGCCACGGGTAAGTACCGGCCCTGCGGGGGCCTCCAAACCAACAAGTACCGTTGCGGGTCACACACACACTCAGGCCAACAAGCACTCAGACATAGCAGAATGCGGGAATCTCAGCAAGGCATACATTGCAGCAGCAAATCCCAGAAATCAGCAGTGTTCTCAGTCTGTGTTTTGGGGGGTCATTACAGATGGTTCTATCAACACCGGGGTTCCAATGCCCTAAAAGTACCGACTTCCAGTCCCATGGCCAATCCAGTCCCGTCAATCTATTCCAAATATGTCCCAGCGTCTCCACTACAGCTTAGACCCTGGGCATTGAAGAAAAATGTGTTCAATGGTCTCTCTAATTTTCCTGCTGGGAAAAGCTCCCGAACAAGACTGACACCAAGGGAGAGCCAAACCCCTTTGTTCCAATGATGACTGATCAATCAACCAGTCATTTGTCGGCAAGCATCAATGGGCTATCTGCCGTTGCAGAGACGCAAACTTGGCTGGTCGCTCCTTCAATCCTCTACACCATCTAATGGAACGAAGTATTTCGATATGTACATACTACATTCCGATGACGTGCCCATCGTTCCTGCATAACATCGATCACGTCTACTCTAGGTCTCAATAATGTATAGGATGCTTTGACTGTCAAAGACTGCAACCTTCGAGGTTTACTTCTCCTGGAAGCCCTCCACACCCATTCCGCCAGATTAATAGGAAGTTCTGGGATGGGGGTTTCAAGTTCAAACACCCTCCAACCTTTTGTTGAAGAATTAAATACAACCCTGGGCCTATAGATAGACTCTGATAGAGTGAAAAGGAAAAAAGGAAACATCATCTTGTTGCCCTTGTGCGATCGTATGATCCCGCTGGAGCTGTAAGATATTAACTAACGCCCCTTGGGAGTGGGTGTCAACTTGTCAAGCATCTGTCCTATGACCTTGGATCCATTAGGGCGGCGACCACATACCCAGTTGGCCACCATGAAAGTTGGTCCTGGTCATCATCCAGGCCAAGGGAAAGGAAGAGATGATACCATCCAAGTTATCATTGAAGTTGTGTGCGTATTCAATTTCCTTCCAAAACTGCTCTGTAGTTTTCCATGATTTTACTATTGGGTCCCATAAATCCTTGACCCTCTCGAAAACCACGATAATCCGCTCTGATACCATTGCAGTGAATCACGACTTCACACCATCACAAGCGCAAGCTTGCACACGAGATGCACACCAAAACGAGATGAGAGCACTTGGAAGTTACTCAAAAATTCCAGTCTTATGCAACAAGTTTCAGGTATGTTCACACTTGCAGCTATGGCCGCCAAGCCCAGTCTCTCTCTCTCTCTCTCTCTCTCTCTCTCTCTCTCTCTCTCTCTCTCTCTCTCTCGCTCTGGTTTTCCATCTGGTGTGGGTGAGTGATAGTCTGCTTTGATTGTCGTCACAGGTACCTTGAGGGCAGTGGTTGGTGCCCACCTCAGCGTATCACTTGTCGGGCAGTCGTTGATGCTTAACCAAAACTGGGGTTAAGGTGGATTATCACTTACAGTGTAATCAGTTAGGGGATTCTGCAGACTGTTGAGGGTTCAGCCTCCGGATGAGTCGGTGAAACTCCGACGAAACAGTTCGTCACAGACCCTCGTTTGTTGTCCTCTTCTCCTTCCCTCTCTGCCAACGATCTACCAGGCAGTTCTATTTGGCGATATATATACATATACATGTACATTTTATATATACACACACGTGCTAGACTACTCTCGTAGGCCTCACTCTCTTGCTCTGAGTGTCTCCCTCACTCTCGCTCACTCTTCTCTATCAGCTATGGCTCCCAGCGCTGTCAACTACTTCAAACACCCTCAGATCGGATGCTTGAGCACAGAGCTGCTACAGCACTTCCGCAACAGGCACAAATGGAAATTTTGTTGACGCCCTACTGCCGTTGGCCTCTTGTACTTGGATCTTCCGGACGGTACCCCTTGCCAGCTGGCCGCCTATTTTTTTTAGATAATAGTCTTTTATTTTATTCATTTGATTCTATTAATTAGCATATCTTCTATTTTTTCTAATTGTAATTGACGTCTTCCAACACATCCGGAGCTTTCACAGACGTTTTTGGGAAAGAGCTGCATACGAATGATAGACTGAGTTACCACAGACCAGTAACGAACTACCGTCTTCACCCGAATAGAACGCCCGGTCATTATAGTTGCATTTGGCCCACCTGTCAGTCCAGATGCAGCGATAATGTCCGGGCGTTCTATTCGGGTGAAGACGGTAGGCCTCCTAAGCTTTCTAACCTACCGGCCTACTGGACAGCCTGCAAAGCCTACCAAGTTATTGTACGACCTGGACGGACCTATGACGCCTACCAGTCGGGACTATGACATGGGCCACCAGGACTGAGACTCTGAGATGGGTGAACTCCTTTCATCTGCTTTTGCATTCTCGTGTTTGGTGTGGTTTCAACGTCTGGAGCTTAGCATTCAGTGCTCTACTTAATATCAAACAATGTCTGCGTTTCACTTCATCTCCCACGTACACTCTCTTGGTTTGACTCAAAATCTACCTCCCAGCAGCAATTTCATCATGACATGACATGACTATGCCTTGTATCTAAGATTCTTGAATAATCAATGATCACACAGTTAATTCTGAGCAGAGTTTGAAAAAAGGGGCAAGTACGTTTGTGTCACAAACAAAGTTCAAAAGGGCCAAAAAACAATAATGGGCAACGAAAAAATGGCCGTAGTTCGAAAAGGCAGTCATAACATCAGAAGGCGGTAACATCAGGCCCCGAGTTTGAAAAGGGCGCTTGTAGCACACTTTCCTTCTTTTTTTATTTATTTATTTATTTATTTCGCGGCCGTGGCCAATCTGGGGTGTGGCCGGGACATGTCGACCATGGCAAATTTGGGGTGTGGCCGAGACATCTCGGCCATGGCCCAATTTGGGGTGTGGCCGAGACATCTCGGCCATGGCCCAACCATGGGGCCTTTTTTTTTTTCTTTTTTTTTTTTTTCAGC